CTAATAAGCTTGAGAGCTCTCCCTTCCTTCTGGCTTTGGAAATTTTCTCTTTTAAAGCCTTTCAGATCTCAGGCTACGTGTCAACAGAATGAATAAACCAAAATGCTCCGTGTTATCCACAACTGGGTTCGTAGAAGCTACTGAGATGAAATGGCCAGAAGTTCAATTAAGAGATAAAAGAAAGCTCAAGTTCAGCAGAAATGGCTTAAAAAAAAGAGGCAAAAGAAAACTTTCCAATTTGCCATTCAGGGAACAGGATCCTCTTTGCCTGCCGATGCTTTGAGTCCTTCCGTGGGGGAGGATGACAAGGAAAAAGAAGTCTTTAAATTAAAAATTCTCCCCTGATTCTCAAAGGTGCCAAACAGCCCAAGCTCTTCGTTCCTTTGGTGGGTGGAGCAGGTGCTGAGCTGCTCTGAAGTCAAGCTGTGCTCATTTTTGTCTTTCACAGCACTAACCTGAAGCAAAGGCCACATTTGTCTCTTTTGTATGGAAGTCACACGTCTTTTTCTTTGTCCAATAAACTGTTAACTACATAACTATTAAATTAAATTAAAAAAAAAAAAGGAGAAAGCTTCAATAGGTTGCATAAATGTTACTCTCACATTGAATCTCTTCAGGGTTGAAGAGCCAAGGGGCTTAAAAGGAAAAATTCAGTGCCAAAAAGAAGTCATGGTATGTCTGCAGTAAAAACAGCTTCAGCACATCTGTAGTAAAATAATGCCTCGTAGGTGATGTATCCTTAGTGGAATTAAATGAGGGCTCTCAAGTTCTCCTGCTTCTTTTGATAACCTTTTATCAGTTTGGATGACACAAGATCTTTCAGAACTTTATCTGGCTGAAAATCTGAAGATTTTCAGCAGAGAGTAAAACATGCACTGCTGCTTTGAGGTCCCACATGCAGACCAGCCAGCTGACCTTCTGAGGGTCTGGAAGAATTTATTTTCTTATACAAACCTTTGAAATCAGACCTGTCTAGCAAAATAATTTTTCCCTTATTCCTCCCTGGTATGTCCTTTCAGAAGCTTCTGCTCTTCCTTTTGTTCAGGGAAGATTATTTCAGGAGCAACCATGATGAAAATCCTTTTGCCTGTGATCAGATCTCATTTTTTTTCTACCTGAATTGTAGCAATATTTACACTTGCTGTGGCTCAGTGTATATACCAGGGCAAATTGGATAGATTTAAAATTAAAATTCAGCTCCTCTTTTGTTTAACTTCTCTTCCAGCATGCCAGCCCAGATGTCTCTCTGTTTCCTTCTTACAAAGACACTTCTTCCTGAAGAACAACTAATCCTGATCTTTCTTTTCAATGAAGTGTACTGAGTAAAATGCATAGAAAATAACTACTTGTGACTCTTATTTGGTTGTAATTGATGTGTTATCTTTGGGCTACAGTTTAGTAACTGACTTAACATGTGGTGGTTCTATTCAAGTCCATTGGATTAAAGTCACAGGTGAAAACAGTCACTTGACTAAAAAATGAGTTTTTGCAGGTTTTTCAACATAACTCCTCTGAATGGTTTACTGCCCACATGGTAACTACCACATTTTGATATTTAAAAAAAATCAGAATCATTCTTGAATAGGAAAAATTTGTGAAGGTTGAGGATCCCTCCTTAGGATTGCCACTCTTGGACTGTCACTGTTGGCCAGTCCAAAGCTCTGGCAGCCAGAAGAACACCCCAAGTACAACATCCTGTGGCAATAACGTGAGACTTGAGGGGTGTAGGAGACAAGCTGAGGACATCAGAGGCACAGCCTGGAAGAGCAGGACTAGGTAGAGAAAGTTCAAGAGGCTGTGTGGAATAGGACTCTCACCTTTTGGTTTTGGCTCTTCAGCTGTTGAATTTGGCTGGGTTCATCCCTGCTGACAGTCGTGGTGCAGTTTGGGGCATAACCCTAGGACTAGAATTTGGTCATTGTATGTGCTGGGGGGTGACCCAGCATCACCATCTGCCTCCTCTGCTCTTTATTCTACATGTGTGCTGTTGATTTCCCCCAACTTCAGCAGCTTTCAAGTCAATCACCTCTTGAGTTAGTCATTGCCTTGGCAGTGATAGACTAATTCATGTAATAATTCTGCTGTGAGGCAGGTGACATCTCACCAGCAACTTCAGTGATGCTGGAGCACAACTCAGTCATCAGTTGAGACTAGATACTTGACTTGAGCTACAGTTTAGTCATCAAGAGCCAAATTTGCTGCTTTATTTTGATACTGAAGTCAAGCAACATGCCCACGACGTGCAAGAGCTCCACAGATACCAAAATAGCTTCTTCTGTGTAACCTGGGATGATGATTAATTGCCACAGCCCTGACACTTCTCTTCCCTCTTGGAAGTTCCTGGCATCTTTTGTAACACTCTTCTTGCCCTTTCATACTTCTTGCAACAAAGACCATCAAAGCCTGAGGGACTTGAATTAAAGAGTCAAGGCAACGTGGTTTTGGTCTTTGTTATCGTTTTAGTGGTTATTTAGTTAAAAAAATCCAAAGGATATATAAAGACTATATATAATCTTGAATGTAAAAAACATAGCTGTTCTCACCATCTTTTCTATATTTAGAGAAACGACCACGTCATTCTTATCTTGAGGATTAGGAAAGACTTCTAAAATGCAGCTTCATCTTTGGATTTTAGAGAGTATATCTAAAGGAGAACCTGAGCGAATTTCAAAGGGAGATCTGATCCAAAAAAACACAGCAGACTTTATCTAAGATAACACATGATTTCTTGATAGCTTGAGTCTACTGAGAGATTAAAACTTCTTGGCATATATAGCAGCTCAGTTGATCACTTGAACGGCAATTAAAAAGTAGAACAAGTCCACTCAGGATATTGTTTTTGTGTCAGAAATGCTCCTTCATGCTTGAAAATGATAAAAAATTGCAATCGATCCTTACAACTGTTGTGTTCATCTTTATTGATCAGGCAAAAGAAAGATAAATGGCAGCCCAAATAAGATTATAGTAAATGTTAGCATCGTAGGGGACGGGGGGATGATAGAGAGCCATTCATCATCTCCAGTGGTGACCTGTCCTCACTCACCCCCTAGCCAGTCTGCTGTCTGATCCCATACCTATTGATTTCATCTGCATCCAAGGAACCTGAACCTGGGCAGCAGAGATTGCTCCATGCAAGGGGGTCACTGCTGGGAGGAGGATTTCATTTTCATTTTCTCACCAGCCAACGATGATTTATGAAAAAAGAAATGACCCCGAGTCACGCGCGTGGAAACCTCGATTCTGGGACTGTGAATTATTAGGTCTGGGTCTCAGAAGCCTGAGTGCAGCAGACCACCGTGCTCCTTGTGATCCGTGGGTGACCTTTGACTGCAGGGGATGTGACACAATTTGTTCTAATTTGTGCTAAAACACCAAACTTGCAATACCATTTTCCCCGGGGCCGGAGCCGCGATTCTTTTTTGGCGACTTCTGTACGTTCCAAGATTTAGAATGCAGAAGGAAGAATCCCAGGAGATGAGCTCCTCAAAATGGTTCTTTCCTTGCCTTTTTTGGAGTTTCCATCAAGTGGTTTTGCTGTGGTGGGCTGCCTGACCTGCATTCCTCATGACATAATTTGCCACAGAGAAATGTTGCTGGGGGCGCTTACTAACCCAGTAACCAAGGAGACTCTGTCATCTTTGACTTTTACCAAAGAGTGATCTCTTCACTTACAGGATTTTTTAAAATTTTGTTTCCCCCAGTGTTTCAAACCTATTATTTTTTCATAAATCAATGTCTGAACTAATTAAACCTTCTTACTTCACCTAAAATGATGCTTTCCATGGACTGCATTGTGCCATCCGTGCACATGAAGTGTTTTTAGTGTTGTGGCATGAACGAGTTCAAACCATGGTAGATGGAGGTAGACTTGTAAAAGAAGGATTCAGAATGGTTTTTGTGTCATCCTGCAGGGTGGGGCTGTAAGAGCTTTGTTGCCACATCAACATGACCCCGTGGGATGTCACTCCAAAAGCTATGGAGGAGTTGTTACAAGTGCCAACAAAACTTGTGCACAGCTCCATGACCTGTTTTCCCCACCATTCTGAGGAAAAAAAAATGGGTTTAGGGAACTTTTGAACTGCTTTAACTTTTCTTTATTCCTCCAACTGTGAAGCCAGGTGCCTCAGTTATTGCATCTCAAGTCCAACTGTGCTAAGGCTATAAAAACCTCTTGAAAAATACCAAGTATATATTATCCAGCCATGAAGCATCACAACATTATAGTGATTTGTCTTCGAAGCTCCTACATCCCACTGAGAAACTTGGGCCATTTTTAAGTATAGGAAAGTTGCCCTGCTTGATGATTCAGCTTTGTCTTGCCTGCATTTTGGAAATTCATGCTTTGGTGGAACTGAGTGAAAGACATTCCTGGGTTTAGAGGAGATGAAACATGGTTTCTGAAGCTGCCTGATTGTAAAAAATAAAGTTAGTATCTGACTGGAGCCATTAGGAAGTTTGGAATATTAAAATAATTCACTGTGAGAGGTGTTATCAAGGCAAAGAGCCATAGAGCAAGTCAAGCCATAGTTAGTTTATTGTGCAACTTTGAGGTTTGACTCAAGTATCCCCTGTAAACTAGATGGGGATATATGTGGGAGTAACACAAACAGGGATGTACACAGAAGTAAGGATTCAGTATTTTGATTTTCTTTTTCCTAATGGAGAAGCTTCAAAGGCTCCAGCAGCAGCTAGTGCTAAAGATGTGATTCTTACCCTGCCTCTCTTTACAGTTTCTCCCTGAGAACCATCTCTTGCATAACCTTCCAGAACCCAAAGGACATGATTAGTTGAAAAAAAAACACCAAAAAAACACTAATCTCTAAAACTTTGTAGAATACTTGATTTGAGGGTTAGGTTTTGGGTTTTTTTTAGAGCAACTTAAATGGATAAAATATCCAAATTGAACATTATTTGCGAGATATCAGCATATATAGAAAAGATAAAGTAAGCAATCCATAATTTTCTGTTATTTTTTACCTCTCCAGAGTGCCCAGTTCTACAAAGTCACCACGGAGCAATACCAAAAAGCTGCTGATGAAGTGTCAGCTCGGTTCAAGTAAGTCTTTTTTACTCTCCCTGTTGAGCCTGGCAGCTGGTGAGTTCTTACCCACATTAAAATGTACAATAATTCCCCTTCCCCCTGTCATAGATCTTATCAGCCTGGGCTGCTTATTGAAATGAGAGAATTTGGAAGAATTTGGAAGCCAGTGCATAGTACCCATAAGCTGCATAGAAATCAGGAGCACAGTTAGCAATACACTGATTAATTTATATTTGATAAGATGCATGTAATAGTCTAAAAATACATTCCTTAACATATTTTTTTTTTCTCTGATGGAGCACCAAAAATGAAGTTCCAGCTTTGCATTACAATAGTATTCATCCTGTGCTTGGGTGATGTGAAAGGATTTAAATTAGCAACTTCACTTTGCCCTGAAGAGTGAAGGTCAAATTAAATAATTTTTATTAGTCCTGAGGACGGTTAAATGAAGATGTAGTAATTGATGGATCAAAGTGACTCTGACCCTTAGCCTTGGACTCTTCCCTTTCTGCTGGATCATCCATTAGGCAGAAGGTTCCATTTATCATTTTGGTAAAGATACAGAGAGAACTTTTTCCAACCTTTTAGTCTCAGCAGTGCCCAAGAAATGCTGTATGAAACGAATGATGCTGGGACTGGTTTTGGGATTTGTGGAGGGATTTTCTTTTGGTTTGGGTTTTTGATGAACAAGAAGAGAAAAGGCTGTTTTGAGCTGCTGATAATACTATAAATAAAAAAATAGGATAAAAATAACTTTATCTCTTAATATCCTGACTTTTTAGATGGTCTCTAGCATATATAGAAAGTCTTTGTACTGGTCAGTAGTGCAGAGTGTATTGAGGAGTGATCTCATTTATGCCTTAAACAAGAGAGACAAAGTGACCATTGACTCAGGGTCTGATGTGAGCATAATTTGGAGGGTTTCTCATGACATCTGAGCAGCCTGATATGATGTTATCCATTGTCATTTTTGTCATCTGTGAGCAGATCCCCAGCTCTCCATCCTCAGTCACAGTGGGGTGTTTTCAGGTTTAGAAATCGAATTATTGCCTAATCTCATTTACACAGAATCTCAGAATCCCAGCAAGGTGGGACTAGAAGGGACCTCTGGAGATCAGCTTGTCTGACCCCTCTGCTTCATCAGGGTCATGCTGAAGAGGTTGCCCAGGATGGCATCCAGGCAGGTTTGGGATCTCTCCAGAGCAGGAGACTCCACAGCCTCTCTGGGCAGCTGCTCCAGGCTCGGCCACCCTCCCCCCAAAGAAGTTTCTCCTCCTGCTCAGGTGGCACCTCCTGGGTTCCAGTTGGTGCCCGTTGCCCCTTGGCCTGTGGCTGGGCACCACTGAGCAGAGTCTGGCCCCAGCCTCTTGCCTTGGGGGGGCCCTTTAGCTCTTGCTCAGCACTGCTCAGATCCCCTCTGAGGCTTCTCTTCTGCAGCTCAGCAGCCCCAGGGCTCTCAGCCTGGCCTGGCACAGAGATGCTCCAGCCCCTGAGCAGCTTCCCCGCCTCCACTGGACTCTCTCCAGTAGCTCCTGGTCTCTCTTGACCTGGGGAGCCCAGAACAGGGCACAACAGAGGTGCCCTGACTCGGGTAGAGGAGGGGGGAGGAGAACCTCTCCTCAACCCCTGGCCACAGTCTTCTTCATCCACCCAATGTTTTCTTACTCCAAAGGAAGTTCTTCTTGAATTTGAAGTACTAGTTGGTAGCTCTGGGAGGTTATTATGGTAAGAGGTGGGAAATGACTTTTGGCTTGGGTTTTTTCCTCCTAATACATAAACTATTTCCTAAATAAATAAAGTATTTTGGGGCTCCTTTTTGGACAATTGGAGCTGGTAGGTACAGCAGGGACCAGTCCTTAGCATGAGGTATTATCTAAGAATTATAAGAAAAGCATTTTGAAGGATGTTTCAGTGTATCTGCATAAAGCAAGGAGTGTTTTCTGAAGAGGGATTTGGTGAGGGGATCAGAGATTCCAAACACTTGATGAGATTGGTGTTTTCTTAATTTTGTGGAGACTAAAGGTATAAATAGAAGTCATCTCTCTGACGAGTCTTCCCTGTAATGCCATTACTGAAATTGCTGTGCTGCTTTTGCACTGGAGGCCAAATTTCCTGGAAGATGATTTGGGATTTTTTTGATTAGTTTGGGTCCAGTGCCTTAAAAAAAACAAAAGGAAAACATTATGAGAAGAAAAAGGTACCTTAAGTATGCGCATAAATTGTGGCAGATTTGATAAAGTGCATGAAATATCAATATGACTTTATAATTCAAAAGTTTTCCTATATAAAATCCTTTTAAATGCCATGTCTCTTTATGGAAGGTTTAAATTCAGCAGATGTTATTTTATCACTGCCTTTTGTATGTAACTTGATGGATAAATGATGAATGATTTAGTGAAACCTAAAGATGCTGCTCTTTTGGTGTCACCAGGCACTTCTCATGTTCAGTTTAATTGCATGTGAGGATTGAAGACAAGAGTTTCAAGCAATGATGTTTAAAGAGCTTGTTTAATTGGCTGTAAAGAAGAATTAAATAAGGTTGAACTGCTAAATTTTGTTAATGCATAAACGGATGTGCTGCGTGTCAGTGTGATTTCAGGTTGGAAGTGTGAGATTAATAGATCTAATTGTGGTGCTATTACAAAATAGTCTCACTTTATTTTAAACGTGTCTAGCATTAGTTTTATTGAGCTAACTTACATTTCTTCAACTTTCTAAGCTCCATCTCTTTCAAGAGCAAAGAGAAGTGGATAATTGCTTAAATATTTCCTGGATTTTCTTCTCCCTTTCTCTGTTTAGTCCCTGAAATTACATCAGCCGTGGCTTCATCATTTTTTAGGGATGATTCGTCCCATTAAAAGGGAAAAACCCAAATATCCCACATGGACTTGTATCAGAGAACTGACAGGCCTGCTGTATTTCATCTGCAGCCCTTTGGATGCCTTCTTATTGCCTTCTCCAGCCCTGCCTGGATGAGAGTGAGGTTCCAAATGCCCGTGATAAATGTTTTATCTCTGCGAGGTCCTGATTCGCATCGATCAAATTCTGAATTATCAAACGGTTCGTCTCTCTAGGACACTAATTCCCATTGATCAAACCCTAAATGACCAGGTTCACTCGGTTCCTGCAGTACACAAATCACATTAAAACAACATTACTCCAGCATGCTGCCTTTTCTAATGCAGGAGTTATGTTCCCCACAGTTAAATTATAACCAGAGTTATTGTATTATGAAGACGTCTCTGTTCTAATGAGAAGTTTACACAAGGAGAAAAGAATGTGATGTTACAGGAAGGAGCCAGGCTTTGGGCAAAGATTTGAACTTTAACTAATCAAATTGTGCATTTGTGTTGTGGATTTTTTGCCCTTCATTTGAAGGGCTGGGAGCAGGAAGTTTGGCAGCTGTGGTGGTGACATTTTATTCCCCCGTGGTGTCTAGAGCCAAGGAACATCTTGATTATTCATTTAGGAATAGGGTAAGTGGAGAGGGCAAATTTGACCTAAAATAAATGTTTTTACTTTCATCTTCTGTGGGTTTTGATTCCTTGTAGTAGATAACAGACTTCATAGCTCTGCACTGGTGCTTTTTCTGAGGTATTTTGCCATTCTTCTCCTGCTCCACTGCTCTCACATAGACAACGTGGAGCTGCTTCTTGCTGCTGGCAAAACCACAGTGACCAGTTGTCCAGACTCATAGAAGATCCAGATCCTCTTTGGGGGTTGGCTGTTTGTGCAAAGCAAAGCAAGGGTGAACTTTTCCCTGGGATCTCAATGTGTCACTTCCAAACTCCTGTGTCTGCAGCAAAGCCAAATTCTGGGTTTTGTGCATCACAGCACAGGGTTTATCTGTTGGTAGATTCCTGGATGGTGTTACCCAGCACTAACAGTTTTAATCTAGAAAAGTTTTAAGCTAGAAAAGGGCAGATTTAGGTCAGACATTAGGAAAAAGTTCTTCAGGATGAGGGTGATAGATCCCTGGAATAGGTTGCCCAGAGAGGTGATGGAGGCCCCATCCCTGGGGACATTCAAGATCAGGCTGGATGAAGCATTAAGTAGCTTGATCTAGTTGGAGATGTCCCTGCTTATGGTGGGGGGGTTGGACTAGATGACCTCTGGAGGTCCCTTCCAGCCCAGACATTCCATGATTCTATGATTCTAATCCTCTTTGCATCATCTGGAAGCTCGAGCGTTTCTTCTGACTTACTTACAAATTTTGGTGGGTTTCTTCCCTTACTGTGGGACTTGATCATGACCCTTGCCATCAGGAGGAATGCCTCTCAGGAGCTGGAGGAGCTCCTTTGGTTCAACACAGAAAGGTTTGGGATTCTTCACACCACTGAGGTATTTTAAAACCAGTTTTACAACCAAATCAATACATTTCACGTGCTCCTCAATCATCTCCAGTGCTCTGATCACTGATGGAAGCAAGGGCTCAGTGACAGCCAGGCAAGAGGCTGTTACAGCCTTGGAAATCTCTTCAGCAGGGGGTTTGATTCAGGATGGAGTGAAGGGGGATAAATGACAAAACATCAGCATCACATCTCCCTTTAACTGGCGACTTCGGTGCTGCAAAGGTGGGTTCATTAATGTTTAGTGAAAATAAAATTTAAAGCACAGTTATGTTTGATGCTTCTCTGTAAACACATAGAAACATTGAGAGGACTTCCTTGAAACTGTGTTTTAACTACTCCTTTCAACTGGGAGGTGGAGCTGAGGAGGTTTGTAGAGAACCACATGAAATGAATAACAGTGACACTTCCATCTTCAAATCCAATTGTCCCACAAAGCAGTGATGGCAATTTTCTGGTCGTTGAAAAAAAAAGAGAAAATAAACTTTTTAATGACAAAATTGGACCAAGATGAGGGAATTGTGAGTGCAGATCCACTGGTGAGAAACTTTCTGTTTTGTAGCAGTTCCTTTTGCTACCTTAATGAACACGAGTTGCTTGTAAAAATCAAAGTTGACTCCAGATGATAAATTATTTGTGAAATACTGCAGAGTATTTTTCCAGTAA